GGGACTGGAGAGGCTCGGCCTCGGGGCTGCTCATGGTCCCATCTGTGGTGGTTACTTGCTACGTCGCCGAGGTCATTGGACAAGCATCACTGAGCGTCTGCTCCAAGCATCAGGGACTGAAACATACAGGAGCCTCTGCCCGTGGAGACAGTTAACATGCAGCTGACCAAATGAGTAAGGGGTTATTCCAGGGCGGCGGGGGGTGGTGGCTAGCCGCACAGCCTGGTCAGAGCCCCGAGTGTGGGGAGGGGTGGCCTGGCGTCATGTTAATCACGGTGCTGGGGGCCTCCCTGTAAAGAGGCCCTGAGCTCAGGAAGGTCCCCCCACCAGCCTGGCTGCATCGGGACGGGGAGGCAGGAGGCTGTCTGGCTAAAATGCAGGTCAGGGACCCGGCAGCGTGTCCGACGCTGACAGAGATGCCTGGATAGTGGGGTCCACTGCAAGGACCACCCCCGGCCCCAGCGTCAGATGGGCCATCTCCCACCCCACCCTGCCTCCCCATCCCCGCCTCAGTCCTCAGTTTCTTGGCCTCCGTCTCGGCTATGATTTTAGGACTCCGGGATTCGAGTTTGTTTGGTTCTTGCCCAAGGTAAACACCGTCTGTTTCAACTGATGGAGAAACATTTGCAGAACAGAGTTTTTATAGCTTGTTCTTTGAAACGATCTTTGAAATGATCACCCTATTTAAGTTAAAAAGTGAGGTCAGATATTCAGGCCTAAAGAAGCAGCGCGCCTGGACTTTTCCAAGCGCCATGTCTTCTGCCCCTCCCCTTCCTGGGTACCCCTCCACCCCAGCCTGGGCAGCCCCCCACCCATCTGAATCACCCCACTACTCACCTAGCCTACCTGGAACCCCCAGGCTCCCAGACAACGCCCCCTCGAGCGTGGAGAACCCACACTCACCTGTAAGTGGCCTCCCCCCGGGATGCCCTGCTGGGGCCCTGGGAAGTCTTCAGGAAGAACTTAGGGGTGGCCCCGGGACCCCGGAACCCTGAGAGCCAGCTGGGAGGGGGAAGTCGCCCTCAGTGGAATCTTGCGTTCAGCTCTGCTGAGCACCTGCTGTGTGCTGGCTCGGGAGGGGCGCGGACCAGCTGCGGGATGGCACCTGCTGGGATGCTGGTCTTCTACGGGAAGAAGGGTCCTAGTGCCGGGGGCCAGGGCGGGGACGGGGGCCGGGTCGTCCTCCCCCGTCTCTCCCCTCCGGTGGCAAGTTCCGGCAATGTAATATCACTTCTCAGATGAACGTGGGCTCTTGAGCGGAGGAGGGCAAGAGGGGAGCACGGGGGGAACACGGAGAGGGAGTCAAGAGTCTGGAGGCAGGACGGCTCGCTCTCCAGGAAGCGCCGTCTCCAGACCACTCAGAACCCTCTTGGGACCAAATCATCAAGCAGAGACAATGTCTTCTCCAGGCGTCTGGGCAGCTGGCCTTGAAAGCGGGGGCTGGTGGGGGGGTGCCTGGCAATGCCACTGTCTCAAAGGATGGTGAACTCGGGGTTCGGGGCGCTGGAGGACGCGTGGGCCCAGGAGCTCCAGCCGCGGCTGGGTGGTTCTGACTCAGGCAGGCTGTCTCCCTTCCGCGGACCTCTTTCCCTCACCCACGAATGCCGGCATCACGGGCTCCTGTGAAAAGGAAGCAATGCTTCACCTTGCCAGGCTCAGCCCCAGGTACACGGTGACCTTCGCCAGCGCCAGCAAAGTCGGGCCTCCAGGGCCGACACCCCACCCTGGGCCAGCACCCCTGCCTACGGCGACCCCTCGTCCCCTCGAGGTCACACCTGCTTCGGGGCTCCAGCTCAGCCCCAGACCTTCACAGGAGCCCCGCACCAACCCCCAACTCTATCACCACCTCCCTCCCCCGCAGTCTGCAGCGCCAGACCAGCCTGGGTGGGCAGAGCAGGGGGTCCCCCTCTGCCGAAGGACCTAACCCCACTCCTCAGGGCTCATCTGCACCCCCAGACTCCCTCCTCCATCGTCAGGTAGACTCGTGATCTGAGAACAGTCACGGCCCCCCTAGGAGGTCTGGCCATGCAGAAGGGAGAGGTCTTCCCTGAGCTTCCTGGAGGGTGGGGCAGGGGGGTTCACACCAACAGGCAAAGCCAAGAAGGGCACTTGGGCCCACCTCCAGGTTTGGGAATTCCCAGGCCTGCAGCCCCCAACCAGCAGGAGGGCAGTGGGGACAGTCCAGGCCTCAGGGGTCAAGGCCTGCCACTGGCCTCTGCCCGCCCAAAGGCCTCCATGTCCTCTCCGACACAGCGAGTCTCTCCCAGTCACCAAGGTCCAGCCCAGGCTCCCGGGCTGGGGTCTCTGGGGTCTCTGGGGATATCTCCATCCTTGTATGCCTGAGAAGCTCACCTCTGACTCCCCAGCAGGAACCGGCCTGGGGGAGCACAGAACCCACCCCACCCTCAGCACACCCCAGGTCGGCCTGGGAGAGGCTGTGGGCCCCCCACCACACCCCCTTCCCCTCCCAGGGTGTCCCTTAGGCACGGCAGGCGGGGTGGATGGGACACGCAGGGCCTGAAGCTCTTCCCAGATGCAACCTCACCCAGCTCTCTCTGGCCCCACCGAGCACATCTCTCAGGACTGAAATCAGCTCGGGACCCTGTGGGGTTGCAGAGCCCTGCCCACAGACACGTCCCTCGTGAGGCCTCCAGGAAGCAGTGGGCTGTCCTTGGCCAAGGCCCTGCTGCCAGCTCCCCCAGGCCTTGGGACACCCCAGGATTCATCCAAGGCCAGGCCCTGAGGTCGGCCCTGGGGGTCCCCATCCAGCAGGGACAAACCAGCCCCATAGGGTCAGCGACTTCCGAGCTGGACTTCCCAGAGCAGAAGGCTGGGACCTGGATCCTGGGCCCACTGTTGGAACAAAAATAGAAGTGAGAGTTTTCTGATAGAAAATAAGGAACAGGCTGCAGAAACAGCACAAATGGGCCTGAAGGAGTTAAGCAGGCTGGGTTATTCTTTGGCTGTTACTGCTAACAAACACTTGTAGCTGGACTTGTCCTTCACAGAATTGCACAAAGCTAATTACTCTCTAACTGCCTATGAATTGCACTCTGCACCTGACCTTCTTCCCCCAACACATGCTCCCTGTAGCATTCTGCATTTCAGAAAGAAAGTCAGGCCGATAACTTCAGGGACACCAGACCTGTTTGGTGAGCCGCCTGACAACAGCTTTGTCCATACGGTTGCAGAAGGAAAGGGAAAAAAATTCAAAACCTTCATTACTCTGAGCCTTATCGCCTCTCTCTATATCCTTTATAGAGGATATAAACCTTCCTCTATTCCCCAGGGATGGGGTGGGGGGTTGGTTCTTGAGGCACGAGCCTGCTCTGTTTCCCCTTTCTCCTGGCAAAGAATAAAGCTATTTTGTCTTTAGTTTTTTCCTCCAAAACTCAGTCTCCATATTTCTTTTCAGCATCAGTGCACAGAGAGCCAAGACTCTGGCACCACTGCCAACGGCCTGCATGGCCCTGGAGCCTACACAGCCTCCCCAGGCCTTGAGCGTTGGCCACCGCTGCCCTGCCCAGCTCCAGCTCTGTGATCCTCATGTGAAAGGCACGCTGGTGCTAAAGTCCTGCTGAGGACCGGCTCAAGCCAACCTAGCGGAAAAGCCGCAGCCTCGAGGCCTGGCTCCAAGATCAGAGGGAGAGCGTCTGACGTTTTTCCGGTCAGCTGTAAGGAACAGGGGCTGACTCAAACCAGCTCAAGCAAAACTGAATCTCAAATAAAAATGCAAAATGTGCAATAATCTTTAAATAATTATTTATTCACTTTTTAATTTAAAATTGCAGCTGATTTCCTGGTTCCTGTCATTGAGAAACCGTGCACCTTCAGGCACCGCTGGATCCAGGGACTCAGTGGCATGGCCTCTGGCTATCTCTCACTGCTTTCTTCTGCATTGGACTCATCCTCAGACAACTGCTCCCCAGAGGGGTGCTGGATGGCCCCAGAAGCATAGCAAGACCAACAGTGGCAGCCATAGCCCCATGCTCAGTACTGACCTGTCCAGTGTGGGTCCATCGCCAGGGCTAGAGGGACACAGGGTGCTTCCTACGGGCCATTTCTGGATCCCGTGCCCCCCTGGAGTAAAGCGGGGTGTTGCAATAACTCAGAACACATGAACAGAGAGTCCAGAGGGCTTCCTGGAGGAGGGGACGGCTAAGCTGAGGGATGAAGGAAAAGAAGCCTTTTTCAGGCCAAAGAAACAGCACGTGCAAAGGCCCAGGGGCCCAAGGCACTGGTATTAGCACACAGCAGCAACGTACAGCACTCCCTGCCTGGAGGAGCTAAGTGACCTGAGGAGGAAGGAGGAGGTGAGGGACATGTCCTGTCACCGTCTGCAAGCAAGCTGGGCAGCTCGGCCATCACCTGCTGGCAGTCAGGATACTGAAGTGGGCCTGGTGGGTATCCAGTGGCGGCTGGAGGGCACTGGTGAACCACGACTGCCCACGAAAAGGAGGCTCCAGAACCCAGAATCAAAGGCCAGAGGCTGCCCTGGCTGTGACAGGACCCACAAGAGACCTCAGCCCAGTTCCCCTCCCTCTGGCCCCCTGCTTGTCCTCACCGGTAAAACCGGATGTCAGCCCAAGAGGCCTGCCAGCTCTCTGCCTGTTACGGGGTTTATAAGGTAAGGGCAGCCCTGTGGTCAGCCTGGAAGGGGCACCAGGGAGGAAAGAGTCCTGAGCCCCTGGAGGCCCAACATTCCCCCCGCTGGGTGCTGGATCCGCTCAGGCAGAAGGAGCCGTGGTGCTCAGTGCAAGGAGGGGGCGGGAAAGGAGGGCCCCTGGGGCAGCTGCCTCCCTGGAGATCTGGCAGGGGAGCTTCAAAAGCTTCTAACAGAGATCGTGAGAACCCAGTCACTTAAGCTAACACTAGTCCACGGGGAATTCCAGGCCCACTAAGGCCGAGCTACGAAATTGCTCCTTTCTTGCAATTGGATCCTCCTGGCAGCAGTGGGTTTTGGCTCCTTGACTTTTAAGCAGGAAGCAGCTACAGGAGACATGGGCTTTTTCTGCCTGGTCAGCGTCTCCTGTAAGGTGCCCCCTGGGAAGCCCCAGCCTCAGCCTCTGGATGGGACAGCTGCCTTCACCCACCGCTTCTCAGGAAATCACTACAGCAGGCACCCCGACCACCCCCATGGCAAGATTCCAGGTCAAGAGGACCCAAGAAGGGCCCACATTGAGCTGGGGCTTCCTGAGAAGAATGGGGCCTCGGAGAACAGACTCAAGTCCATGGAGACCAGAGGAGAGCCGCATCTGTGGGGTGTCAGGAGGGAGACTCGGGACAAAGCACTGCTTCCCCCCAGGACCCAGTCCCACCAGCCCCCCGGGGAACAGGTAGGTGGCAGGGTTGGCTGGTGAAGAGGACCCACCCCATAATCAGGCCAGCCAGCTTTCATGCATCCACTCATCCAGCCACCAATTCATCCCCCCTCACAACATCACCAGTCCAGTTCCCCAGTCACCCATCCACACACCCAGCTAAACCCATCTTGACCATTCAACCTTGACAAGCACATCAACCCACCACCCACTTACAGCATCCTTTTATCAAACCATCCACCCACCGTCCACCTACCTGCACACCCACCCATCCATCCAGACGTCCAGCCAGCTGCTGACCTGGTCCTCATCCATGTGCCATTCATCTACCCAGCACACACGTAGCAGACAATTATCTAGCCATTCACTGATGATCATCCAGCTGGTAACTAGTACATCACCCAGTCTTCCATTTGACCATCAACAATTCACAGATCCACCCATCCATCCAACCAGGAGTCCAGCCCCCACACCCTGGCCCTAACCACCCATATGCTGGGCTTAGTCACTCACTCATGTACAACTCTGCCACCCCATGCACTGTAGCCTTCCAAGCTCCTCCGTCCATGGAGATTCTCCAGGCCAGAATACTGGAGTGGGTTGCCATGCCCTCCTCCAGGGGATCTTCCCAACTCAGGGATCGAACCCAGGTCTCCTGCTTTGCAGGCATATTCTCTACCACCTGAGCCACCAGGGAAGCCCCCTACAACCACCTATACAACCCCCATTCAATAATCTAATCACGTATCAATTAACCCGCCTCCCGTCTACAACCCAGGAACCACCCCATCCTCCCACTCACACATCCATCCAACCAGCCAACACCCACTCATTTAAACAACCCACCACACACCCGTCCCTCAGTCTGCCTCTTTTTCCTCCGAGATCCCACAGCAGCCTCCTCTCTAATACCCTCCACAGGGCCGGCTGTTTCTGCATCACCTCTCAGGCTCCTTCCCGGCTCCAGCGTTGTCCTCCCAACTAGGAATCACCAAGAAGACACAGCCCTGACCACTGTGAGGGTGGCCCTGGCTAACCCACGCTCAGAGCTGGGAGCTGCCCCTGCAGACCTCACTGCTGGGGACCCTCGGCCCCCAGGAGCCACACAGAGGCTGGCGGAGCTGGGGTGGGGCCGTGACAGCCAAGCTTCTGCCTCATCACCCCGCCACCATGCACCCTCATGAAGGGAAGGCCAAGGCACCCTGCCCCAACTGTAAAGGGGGGGCCCTGTTTAGCCCGGAGGCAGGGAGCACGTGGCCACCCCACAGGGAGAGAAGAGACAGCACTGAGAGTGGCAGGAGGGCAGAGGGCACGGTGCCCCGTGAGCCCCAGTCCCGCTGCGCCTAGACCCCAGATCCGGTCCCCAGACTGGCAGGCCGTGGAGGTGCCAAGGAGGGCGGAGACAGAGGCAGACCAGGCTCCTCTTGGAATGCCCTGGGGGGTGCCAGGCTGACGGCCATGCCCAGGGCACTGAGCTAAGGTGGGGAGGCTGCGTCTCCCTGGAGTAATCACCCTTGGAACTTGCCTTTCGTTTCTTGTTTCCACAGCAATCTGAGCCCAGAAATGGCTTTGAGAAGCCCCAGGGTGACCTCTCCTCGCTGGTTCCGCGCTGAAAGGTGGCCCAGCTTTGCTCTCTGCATCCCTGGGACCATGCCTGGGTGGGGAGGGGGGGAGCAGGACGCGAGTCCCACAGGAGCGGTCAGCCGGTCACAGACTAAGCATGCAGCAATCACGGTCACCTGCTCTGCAGTCCCGGGCAGGGGCTTCAGCCCGCCCCCCGCGGGGACGGAAGAGGAAACCAGACCCCCGTGCAGGGAGCTGCCCTCCTCCCGGGAGGGTGAGTCATGGCCAAAAAGAGCATCAGCGTTGAGGCTGCCACTGTCTCTGTTTCCACTGCTTCCCCTTCTATTTGCCATGAAGTGATGAGACCAGATGCCATGATCGCAGCTTTTTAAATGCTGACTTGTAAGCCAGGTTTTTCTCTCTCCTCTTTCACCTTCATCAGGAGGCTCTTTAGTTCTTCTTCATCAGACAGACAAACTGGCGGATGGAACACAAGAGGGCCCAGAAACCCACCCACCTCCGTGTGGTCGGTCAGGTGACCTGTAACGAAGGTGATACCGCAGTGCTAGTCAAGATGGACGGGGAGGACCATCCTTCAGACAACAGCACTGAGTCGACGGGACAGTCAGAAGGAGGAAAGATCTTGACCCCTACCTCACACCATACACCACGATAAATCCCAGGTGGGCTGAGACCTACCAGGGAAACATAAAACAGCAAAGCTTTTAGAGGAAAACACAAGTAAACGTCTTCATGACTTCAGCCTAAACGAAGATTTCTTAAACAAGCACAGAAAGCATTTGCCTCAAAACGTTTGACAAACTAGACTATATTGGAAAAAATTTCTTATCATCAAAAGACACCATAAGGAGCCACTCAATTCTTGCAAGTGAAAAAGGACTTAAAACAGGTAAAGAATTCATATAAATGGGTACAGAAATGTTGACAACAGCATAGAAAAGTGGGCAGAAAACATGAAAGGCACTTCGCAAAAGAGGAAACTTCGATGGAGACAAGCATATCAAAAGATGTCCAACATCCCTGGTTACCAGGAAATCACAAATTTTCAAACGTGACACACTTCCGTACCCGCCAGCCTAACCAAAATGAAAAGACAGATAATCCCAGGTGTTGGTAAGGCTGCAGCCCAGCTGGGCCCTCACACCACTGCTGGTGGGGGCGGAAGTGGTGCTGGCCCCGTGGAAACACGTTTGGTGGAACACTCGCCCGCCCCACGATCCCAGGATCCCACCCAGGACACGTGGGGGAAACACACCCCTGAGGTCCCGTAGATGCTGGAACAGTCACAGCAGCTGCTACGGCGATCGCCTCAAGCCGGAAGCCGCCGATGCCCACAGTGGACGCACAGCCCTGGCGAGGAGGAGGAGGCCTCACACAGCACCCGGCCTCTCGGGGAGCGAGGAGGCAGGCCCGTGTCCCACCGAGGGCAGGAAACCCGGCCCTGCCCCCTGGGGCTGGGAGGAAGCGTCTGCTGGGCCCTCGGTATGCTCTTTCTCTTGACCTGGGCACTGTGCTAGCTACACAGCGTGTCCGGCTCATAAAAACCCACTTATGATGCAAAATATACAAAGATACGCGTGTTACTGTGGGCTTCCCTGATAGCTCAGTTGGTAAAGAATCCGCCTGTAACGCAGGAGACCCCGGTTCGATTCCTGGGTCGGGAAGATCCCCTGGAGAAGGGGTAGGCAGGTATTACTGTCCCGGAGCTGCTGTAACATAGACTGGGGACCTAGACAGCAGAAACGGTCTCAGTTCCAGAGACCAGAAGTCCGAGATCAAGGTGTCAGCAGGGCTGGTTCCTCCCGAGTCCTCTCTCCCGGCTTCTGGATGTTGCCAGCATCTTCCACGATCCTTGACTTGTGGAAGCATCACTCTGCTTCCCAGCTGCATCCTCACATGGCCTCCTCCCTGGGTGTGTCTGCATCCAAATGTCCACTTTTGACAGGGACACAGGTCAGACTGGGGAAGAGCTCGCACTAACGGCCTCATCTTAACTAATGATGCCTGCATCAATCCTGTTAGCAAATAAGGCCATCTTCTGGGGTCCTGGGGGTTTAAGACTTCAGCATATGAATCTTGGAGGAACACAATTCAATCCACAGCCATGCATAAACATCTATAAAGTACATTAGACTGCAATAAAAGTGGGGTTTTTGAGTTAACAATAAAAGTAGCTGAAGTGGATTAAACATTTATGAGGAGCTGGGCATAGCTCTGTATATTTTGCAAGCATTACGTCACCCTCAGACCATTGCTCCAGATCCTTGGAACAGAGGCGCAGATTTGGGGTGCAGTGGAGAGAAAGGGAGGGGGCCTCTCTGAGGCAGGCAGCCCTCCTACCCCAGGGCACCCACCCTTTGGAGGATGTACCAGGCTCCTGTGTCATGTGCAGGACTGCAGCTCAGAGCAAGACCCACACACAAGTCTGGCTCAGCCGGGCCTGGGCTCTGATGCATCTTCTAGCAGCTCCTACATCCACGGAGGAAAGAGGGAGAGGCATGGCCCACAGCTTTGTCTTTAGACGGACGGGACGCTGTGCAGGAGACTTAAGAGACCTGAGTTGGATCCTGGGGTTGGGAAGGTCCCCTGGAGGAGGGCATGGTAATCCACTCCAGTATCCTTGCCTGGAGAATCCCATGGACGGAGGAGCCTGGCGAGCTGCAGTCCATGGGGTCACAAAGAGTCGGACGCAACTGAAGCGACTTAGCACACACGATGCTGAACCGGACCAGGATGAAAACCAGAGCGAGAGACTGGGTGCTGCTGACCCGAGCAAGACGGCTAGCTGCGCCCTCTTGTCCTCACACTTACAAGGCTCAAACTCGCTTTTCTTTCACCACAGCTCAAAGCAACAGAATCCTGAACAGAACCCCAGATAACGCCCTCTCTGGATCTGAAGAAACGCAACGCAGTGGCTGTAATAAAACCTTTAAAGGAGGAAGAGATGGCAGGCTTGATGGCAGGCTGGAAGCTGGAGCAAAGCAAAACCATGATACAGAGGAAGAGTTTGAAAAACATTTTCAAAATGCAAAAGAAAAGGAAAAGAAAAACATGGAAGCAAGAAGTCAGGGAGCATGGTGGTCTTGCATCAGTTCAGTTCAGTCTCTCAGTCGTGTCTGACTCTTTGCAACCACACGGACTGCAGCACGCCAGGCCTCCCTGTCTATCACCAACTCCCGGAGCTTGCTCAAATTCATGTCCATCCAGTCAGTGATGCCATCCAACCATCTCATCCTCTGGTCTTGCATCACCTGACCCCAGTTACTAGGAACTCCCAAACGAGGTAGAAAAGGAAGCGGCAGAAGCACCAGAAACAAGACTGCAGGGAAAAGTGAAAACTCAGAGAGAGCAGTAAAACAACCAGGCGATCCATTTTCAGGGATATCGAGGCGTCTGAAAAGCTCCCAAGAGGAAAAAGAAGTAGATGATCT